AAAGAATTCTTTGGTGATCATCGTAGTAGTAGAGGCGTAGATATAAAATGGCTGTCAGGTGAAGCCAGTTGGAAGCTCGGACCAATTTTATATCAGGCCTAAGACAAGGCCACCGTAGTACCCTGGTCGAACTTAACCCGGACATGCGACTCGGGACACTGTCCGTCGTGCATGCCACAGACAAGCACATTTTGTCCAGGCGGATTCGGCTGTGTCCTAGCCAAAAACTCAAATGCGTTCAATGCAGGAAGCCATTGTACCATCCGCTCCCCACACAACCATACTGAATGATGTCGCAAGGGTGGTATCGCCCGGACATCGACCACTTTTCACTTCAGCTAAGCCTGCTACCACCCATCCTCAGAAACGTGACTAGGCTAATAGACCCTGAGGTTTTGCACAGTGTCTGCTACCTATTTTTCGGACATCGTAACTTGGACAGGTTAGAGAACCTTCACCTTCCTACAATCAAACTCGCAAGAATGCGAAGACAGAGTGCCATATCGGCCCGTTAACCCTTTCGATGTCACAACAGTGACTACCAAATCCTACAATACACCTTGAAGCTCCGACATCCACCCGGTTATTTTTCCCACGCCGTTTCCGGAGAACCCAACCACACCGGAAGACTTCGGTAGGTAACTACTAGCCGTGTAGGTAGAAGGCACCGAGGCAGCATGGTAGTAGTTGTTATACCGGTTTACCTACCTACCTACTTCGAGCAGCGTGACCGGAAGAAAAGAGAGAACCCCACCACCTCACAAACGTCGTGAACAATGGAACCCATGCAAAGCACCTCGACAGTCTTACGAGTATTCCAGTCCCCAATGCCGAAACTCCGGTCAGAAGAGCTGTCAAGGTAGGTGGGTAGTATCATTGTCCTAGACAGAGGTGCTCTCTCGCGGTCCAGTCCAGTCCGTCGCGCTCTTGGTGTAATCTGGTCACATCCACAACCGCCGCTTGAATACATGGAGTTTAGACACCACACATACGCGCCGAGGATATTTCCGTGTGGATCTGAAGGTGGTAGGTAACAGGAGAAGAAAAATTTGACAGCAGAGTTGAACCGTAAGGTAGAGATAGGTACATGTATAAAAGGGCCCGGAACGGCCAGTCAGTCGACCATGATTTTGAGACGTCCAGCATCCTCTTCTTCCTCTTCACCACACACCCCCAGTGGTGAACAGCAACTGCTGCGATGAGGGCATCACTTTTTCTCTCCACAGCCGCAGCCCTGCTTGGGCTTGCGGGGGTGTCAGCAAGATCCGTGTTTGCACACTTTATGGTAGGTTATTTCCCTTGAACAGTGGAATGGTAGTATGGCTAACTGGGCCCATTGCACGTGCAGGTTGGGAACGCCGCCAACTACACCTCAAACGACTGGAAAAAAGATATCAGCTTGGCCCGAGAGGCTCAGATTGATGCCTTTGCTCTCAACATTGCCTACAAGGAGCCCAATATCGCATCCTCCCTGCCCACGGCCTTTTCGGCGGCCGCTGCCATGGGATTTGATATGTTCTTCTCCTTTGATTATGCTGGCAATGGCGCATGGCCCAAGGACGAGGTTGATTCCTTGCTTGCCAAGTATGCGGCTCATACAGCGTATTTCAAGTATAACGGCAAGTCCCTTGTCTCGACCTTCGAGGGTCCAGACAGCGCCGATGACTGGATCGACCTCAAGAATGATCACAACGTCTTTTTCATTCCGGATTGGTCGTCATTGGGGGCCAAGGAGGCCTTGAAAAGAGGCGGTGGCGTTGCCGACGGCTTATTCAGCTGGGCAGCCTGGCCCTGGGGAGCTCAAGACATGGACACTTACACCGACGCGTCATATTTGCAGTACCTGAACGGCAAGCCTTACATGATGCCCATATCACCTTGGTTCTTTACCAACCTTCCCGGCTACAACAAGAACTGGCTTTGGAGAGGTGACAGTCTCTGGTACGACCGCTGGGTGCAAGCATCATATAACAAGACAAGCGCCGATTTGATTGACAATACCCAGTTTGTGGAGATCATCTCATGTGAGCACACTTACATACCTACCTCTACCTTTTCTAGTAGCACCAAAAGAAAACGCGCTTCGAGAACCATCCGCTGATGCAACGTTTTTAATAGGGAATGACTACGGCGAGTCCCATTACATTGGTCCTCTTCACGACAAAGCCATGGAGGCGTTCACCATTGGCAAAGGCCCTAGCAACTTCGCCAAAGATATGCCGCACGACGGATGGCGCCTCTTTCTGCCGTATGTCATCAGCCTTTTCAAGTGGGGTACGGCTACGATAACACAGGAAGGGCTCACGGCTTGGTAAGTGTCTTATGCAGCACATACATGTGCACCGTGGCACTACGAGATTGACCATGCTAACTCTGAGTTGTAGGTATCGATTGTCGCCGGGTGCAGCTTGCGCATCGACCGGTACCACTGGCAACACGGCTAGCCAGCTTCAGATTGAATTTGCCCCACATGAGGTGGTGCAGGACAAGATTTTTTTCTCGGCTCTTCTCACATCCGAGGCTACTATCAGCGTCACTGTTGGAGGTGTGCCACAAGCAGGAGCGTCTTGGTGAGTATATGTAGCTCTGGTTTTGGTCATGTTAGCATAAGGGAGATGGCAAGGATACCCACTAACTGATTTTCAGGACATACAAACCGGATGACCATATTGGTATCTACCACGGTAGTGTTCCCTTCAGTGGCACCGGCGCCGTTGTTGTTACACTGAGCCGCAACGGAGCCACGATCGCCCGAGTCGACGGCAAGGCCATCGAGTCAGTGTGTACCAGCAGTCTATACAACGCCTGGGTCGGCTCCGCTACCGTGTCTGGCAGTGTATACGCTAGCCCATCTCTGTCTATCTCCAAACAGGCGTGTGTCAATGGCACAGGAGTGAACAACTTCGCGGGTCTCTGCGGCTTCGCCTGCGAGTATGTAAGTTACGAACACTCCCGGGTCCTATCTCTTTTCACCGGTACTTAGCACTATGCGCATGAATAGCCCTAACAGAAAAATCTCACAGGGTTACTGTCCTGCTACTGCCTGTACCTGCCGACAAATGGGCAAGGCGGTTAAAGAGCCACCCGCAACGGGTGTAATTGGATATCCAATCTCTGGCGAATCCGCGAGTTATTCGGGCCTCTGCGCTTATAACTGCAACCACGGTTATTGCCCTTCGGGTGCATGTGGCACCACCGAGGTTCCGCTTACAATCCCGGACGTCTCGGATTTCTCTCCTCCAGCTTGCCGAGCAGGGACAGGAACGGGGGCTCTTGCCGGTCTATGCAGCAGCTTCGCTGCACATATGGTTAGTCAAGATCTCTAATAAGAGGCCAAAACGTTTCTGATTTTATTTTACTAACTTCTCAAATCCACCAGGTTTCTGTCCCAGGAACGGTTGCACTTGCACAGCACAGGGCGCCTTGATTGACGCACCGCCCAAGGTTGCTATAACAGGGAAGCCTATTGCTGGGCTTGAAGACTACGGTCTGTGCGATTTCGTCTGCAGCCATGGCTACTGCCCGGATGTCTGTGTCGGCACCGGCTCCGGCAGTTCTGGCAATGTCTACTATCCTCCGAACATTTGGGAAGGTTCTCAGCCCCATATTCCGTGTCTTCCTCCCTGTAAGGTCATCCTTCCGCCTTACCCCATCGGCTCGGCGACCACAATCACGTTTTCCCCGCTGGTCACATCAGTCTGGACCGTCTCGGCCGGTCACACGGGCACCAAGACAACGACAATCACTCTAGCACCGTTGGTAACGGACGCAATTCCTTTCTGGCCCATTACTGTCGGTCCTTCTGTCACCACACCAGTTACCGTGTTCCCACTTCAGAGCTTTATGCCACCTGCGGCAGTCATCACGCTGAACGGAAACGAGGCGACATTCTCACCTGTGCCCTCGGGCAGCGCAACGCCTGCGCCCTCCTTCCCTGGGACCGAGCGCCCGGTCACAATCCAACCTCAGGCCACCAGTTCTGTCACGATGAAGAACAGTGTTCCCTCGGTAACCTGGTCCAGCGCAAAAAGCACCGCAACATGCACCTCGGGCTGCGGCACCGACAGCTGCGAGGTTTTCGGCGGTTGTTCGTCTACCGATCCGGCCGATGATTGCGGAACCCAAGGATGCGGTGGTGGCTGCAGCATTCAAGGCTGCGATCAAACGTGCGGCATCGTTTGCTCGACTGACCAGTACCACGTGCCATCTGACGGGACTGACGGGACCGACGATAGTAGCAACCCGAGGACGCTACCTTTCGATTATGACGGTCCTGACGGCGCTAACTCTGGCAGTTGGAACCCGTAAGCATGTCCCGCGCCCCATATGTCACTCGGTGTCCAAGAGCTGATCCTTCCATGTGTACCTACAGGTCCCCAATAGATAAAAGCTTTGCGTCATCGGCGACGAGTGCCATAGAAAAACACATGGCTACAGCAGCGGCTATGGTGTCTTCTATGATTGACAACTGGAATGATAAGGCGTTGACGACCCGTGTCCAGGCCACTGCAACTTCAGCCAGAAAAGGTAAGCCGTATCCCTCATGTCGTTTGACGGCGCACTGAGTTAACGCGCCCTCGATCAGCACTCTCAACGATTCAAAGCAAGCTCGAGAGTCAACTCGAAGATGCCGCCGACAAATCCAACACTGACAACGCCGGCATCATATACTGGCTCGCTCACTGGTTCGACATAGCAGACGAAAGTTTGGAGTTGGCCACCTACTGGGCTACCAACATGGGAGGACCCCCGGACGTTTCAGGGCCGGGAGTAGGTGCTGCCAAAGAGGCAAAAAGGAATATTGAAAAGTTTAAGGGTATGACTCACCCCCGTCCATTCCTATTTCTTTTCAATACCTTAAATATGCTTCCCTGCTGACTGACTGACCTGACCCGGCGTAGGCGCAACGGAAATAATTGAGGAAGAGATATCAATTCAATCCAACGATGACATCTGCGCCAAAGATCATCTGTGCAACAATTGCATCCTCGATGCTTTTACAAGCAAAGGTGCTACGCCGCCGGAGAGCTGCCCACCGACCGAAAACAGTGATCCCGGTGAGGCGACCAACGCCCACGAGATTCCAAACTCTGTCGATTGCGTATCCCGTAAGTCCTTCTGTTTGCTTAGCATGCCCGCCCACCCGCACAGAGATCCTCCCTGGATCTATCTAGATTACCTTACTTGTCGGGCTAATATAACTATCATAAACAGACTCGGGAACAAAAAACTGGACCAAAGACGAGATCATGAGGGCACTAAAGCAGGCAGTCAATTACAAGCGGTCACCCCCGAAAGAGCCCATCAAAAAGAATGCACCCCTTTGGCAGTACTCCACCAAGGGCATGTACCCCCACGAGTACAGCAATAGCGACAACCTTGCCTTCACCGAGGAGTGTAAGAACGCTGGAAAGGACTTCGACGATCTGGTGGAGTTCCCCATCATCAAGGGTGGTGTGATAGAGGCCGGCAAAAATGGCAAACAGGACGTTGGGACGGACCGTGTCGTGTTTAGGTCCACGAAAAGAGACAGTGTGAACCCCTTGCGTTGGATTTATTGCGGTGTTATGACGCACCATACCAAGGTAAAGGAGACACATAAGATTGACGGTGAGGACAAACAGGTGTTGCCCTTCAGCTTATGCACTTAGCGGTTAGCGGCAGGGCGGACCTGGCTGCCAACCTACCAACAAGGCTTTGTTCGGTTAATCAGTTCTCATATCTTCCCGTTTCTATCGGGCCGAGTCGATGTACGAGATTGATTGGACTTAAGAACTTTCATATCGAACCAAAGGAGCGTTGGAATTTGGGCATGTAAGTCGCGAGGTTGATAGTACAAACCTACCTAGTTAGCTCAATATACTTTGGTAGACGAGGGCGACAATATCTGGGCTTGAAACAAAGAGTTCAAGCCCACTAATAGACTACTTTGGGCCCAAAGGCCGTTTTGCTCCTTTCGACCTCTATAAGAAGGCGTATTCTCAAGTAGTGAGGATAATGGGTGCCTAGGATCTTCGCGTTGCTGACTAGAGGCAGAGGTTGTCACACGGACATATGACCCCTTGCTCAGCTTGACACCAGGCTATACGCCTAACCCAGGCCAGGCCAGGTGCCCTTAGGCATCAACAGGACCACGGACGAACAGCCTATTCCCCCGGCGGAGCGTCACGTCCGAATGCCCTCATCACTACTCAACGCTAGGCCGCGATAACGGGCCCTCGAGTTTCAACTGGAAGCAACCTGAACCAACCAAGAAGGATCAGACCGGCTAAGACGGCCCAGGAGGAAACACTGTCAGCAAGGACGATCTAAAAGGATGCTTTGCGGCCTTGAAAGGCCGGAAGGACCCTGTATGTATTGATCAGAAGGATGGTTTGGATTTGTATAAGAAGGCCTGGGAACTCAGCCCTCGTCTTGAGGGTGAAAGGATCAACAAGGCCTTCGAGACCAAAGTTAATTATTAGCTGAATTGAACCACTGTTTCAAGCCCATACTCTGCCCTTGTCACAAAGCATGATCAGGTCAGGTTTTGACGGACAACGACCGCAACACTAACCAACAACAACCACACTCCATCTTACCTGCTGTAGTAGGACTTCCTTTGAAGAGATTAGGGCATCCCTGGTGTAGGAGACAAACGCATCCGGCGTCTCGCTCAAGCTTGACATCCCAGTAGGAACCAACTCGGAGTCAGAGCACGGACATTTGATTGTGATCCCCTGACGCCTTCTGCCAAGTTCTTTCGGAGAACACCGGGCATGAGAGTTGCACATGCAACCAGGAGCGGACCAAAATCTTTGATCTCGTCTAAAGAAAATCGGTAGGATTTAGAATGACAAAGGCTGGAAAGAAAAAGGCTATATGTATACAGTCGGCTTCAGTGTGGTGCAGACCGGTCTCCCAAAAGCAGCGATCCCGGCTTGCGCGGTGCTCCCTAGGTACCTACGTAGCAACGACCAAGACCAAACCAACACCAACAACAGGAGCGATATCAATACCAACACGAAACTCGACGTTCGTCAAAGAAGCAATAGGTACAAACAAGTGCAGCGAACGGTCGGACCTCATGCGGACTCGTGGGCGACTCAGCACGATGAGAGCCATTCGGAGAGAATTAATGGCGCCAGCTTCGCCTGAAGAAGACCCACCAGCGGGTACCCCGCTGCCGTATAATTAGTAAACTGCCTGCCTACACCAACAGCGGTAGGATCGTCGTAGGGGTTGGGAGCCGGCGCGTAAGTGGCTGTGGCAGGGAAATCCTGTTTATGACTAGTCGGCGGCGGGGCTTCATGGTGACCGCATGCATAACCACGACCGTATTGAGCCATGAGAGAATCTTCCGCTGTGCCAGGGAGGCCACCGATGCCAACGGCCCCGGGATGTTGGCCGTAGTGGAAGGAGGCCGGGCTCATGGTATGTTTGTTGGCATAGAGGCGGGCGTCATCGACGGAGTAACCGAATTCGGAGGATGTATCGGGCTTCAAGGGGATGTCGCGGGATGAGACCTATGGCAGAAAAAAGAATAATTAGTAATGGTGCAGTCATATTAAACGCTGTTCTACAAAGCTGACGATGCATAAAAGCCGATGGTTGAAAATAATACATGCAATGGAGCCAATCGACTCTTCTACAAAGGTGTTGGTTGGTGTGTTGCAAACCAACCATGGTTATGACATGCCAATCTTCCCCTCAGGAAGGGAAGAGGTAGGCTAATGCAGGCGGATGAAGAAGGTAGGTTAAGACAGGTACATGAATGAGGTCGATCGTGATCAGTTTGTCGTAGTGGATCACCAAACTGTAGGAACCAATTCTTCAAGAATGGGCTTCTGACCGAGGTCAATGAAACCCTTTTGAAGGTTTTCAGTAATGTATTGACGACATTCCTCCAGCTCCTCCCGAGTCATCTTGTACAACGAGTTGTATCCGAGATCATGGGGACTCTTTCCTTCCTCAAGCTCAATCTTGNCTGGGTATGGCTCAACCCTATTATGTATCACCAGAACGTATACACTCCTCCCTTTCTTTCTCTCCTCGAATGACTACGCATATCCAAGTGTGACGAACCGTTACAAGCC